GCCGACAAGATGGCTGGGGACAAAGATGGGCAAAGGCATTCACTTGTTTACACTTGGGTGTAAGCCAAACACGCGGGGGCCTGGGGGAGCTGGTCCGTTCGTCCTGCTCCGTTCTTCCTGCTCTGTCTTTGTCCCATCTTCCCAGCCTGGAGGAAGTGTCCACAGAGCCCCCAGCCCTAGGAAGAGGCTGGGGAGCTGGTCAGGGGGAGGGAGGGAAGGCTGGACGGCCTCCCGGCTGCCCTGGGAAAGGGCCGAGAAAGCCAAGCCACCACCAAGCCCTTACTGGGGCTTACTGGGGCAGCCAGAAGGTATCGCCGCACACAGAGCGCTGGGCCTGCAGTCAGGAAGGCTCGCGTTCAAATTCAGCCTTGGATGCTTGCTAGCCGTGTGACCCTGGGCAAGTCACTTCACCTCGACTGCCTCGGTTTCTTTAACTGTAAAATGGGCATCATAATAGTGCTGACCTCCTAGGGTTGATGTGAGGGCCAAATGAGATCAAACTGGTAAAGTGCTTAAGCCAAAGCCTGGCACACAGTCCCCCACTTGTCTCTATGCAGAGATGGAGACGGAATCTTTAGTGTCAATTCAGGCACTAAGTTTCTAATTCCCAAGACAAACTGTCCAAAGGCAGATTTCACTTCCTTTCAAAAGCATATTTGCTTCTTTCAAGGGCAAATTGTGCGCAAATAATACACAATTAAATGTCCGCTCTCCCGTGTCAGAGACAGATAACAAATGACCCCCAATCAGGGTGCGCCTCGCCGACACATTTATATGTTTCTTGAGCAAACAATATAATTATGGACGATTGATTTTTCTTCCCCTCTTGGGAAAGCGCCAGCACCACTATTGGTGGTGGGGGTGTGAGGACATAAAATGGGGACGGGGTGGGGGTTGGCCACGGCTGGCTTCCAGCAGGCGCCTTCAGAGGACACACGGTGGCGGCGAGAGCTCTCCCGCGTGAGGTCATCCTGGTGTGGCGTGGCACGGCGTGGTGCGCTGTTGCGAGGAGACCCAAGATGGAACCCCACTGTGCCAGGGGAGCCTGGCGATCAGCTCATCCCCTCTGTGGGACTCGTCTGAGTCGGGGTCAGACGCAGTCACCTCCAGCTGGAGTCACTGCTGATAGCCGGGCCTTCGGGGAGGCCAGCCAGGAAGGGAGGACAAAGTCGGTGGTAGAGACCAGAGACCGATGCCGCATCCGAACCGACCTTCTTAGGCCACCAAAGCCCGGACTCTGCCTCGGGCCTGTCTGCGCTGGGCCCTGCAGGCCTCTGGCTGCACCCCGAGGGGCCGGGTATTTGCCTAGAGAGCTCCAGCTACTCTGAAAAAGGAAACTCTCTTCGGCTGCCGGGCTTCATCAATTCCCTGTCCACTTCTTGTCCTTTAAAGGTTAGGAAATGTCCACCAGTGGTACCTCGTGGAGCCCACCCAGGCTGCCGTGACAGCCCATTCCCTCCCTCCTCCTCCTCTCCTGCCTGTCCCGTCCCATGCGCTCCGGGTCCCAGGCTGCATCGGGCGCGTGTTCTCCATCCATCCCGCTTTCTCCCCGGGCACACGTGCGAGGCTCTGCCTCATGGGAGCCCGGTGCTGCTTTATTGATCCTGTCTGGATTTCTCCAACATCGTGAAAGGAGAATTTCCTCCTGGAGCAATCAATACGACTTTAGATTAAGGCTCACATAAAAATGTTTAATATATGGAATGCTAATGATTTATCTTCTATTAATTGACCTGCGTGGAGGAAGGAACTCCATAAATGCATGATGCTGATTATGGTTTTTATTGTCAATTAAGGCTGGAGCTCTGCCATCTAACTTCCCAATGTCACGGGCTCCGTGGGAGCCAGAGTCCGTTTCTGCAAAGGCACGGCGGCATCACGGCACCATCGACAAAGCTACTCACTTCCTTTTAGGAAATGCACCAGCTTCTCTCTCCTCTCACAATTTCTGCGCTGGGAGGGCCCGTGGTCAGGGAGGGCACATCCCAGCCTGGGTATGCTTGCTCCTGTCTCACCAAGGTTCTCTAGGCAAGCCCAGTGATTTTGTTAAAAAAGGATAGTTAGACAAGTGGCACGACATTTTGTCCCAGTTTCCGGAAGCTCAGAGTCTTTGGCTGCACTAGATGATAACAAAGGAAGACAGCCAGGCCGGAGGCAGAGCGACAGCCAGGGCCGATCCAGGAGTGGTCCAGGGGAAGACCTTCCCGTGGGCCCCCCTCTATATGAAGGACAGGTTAGAGTCAGCGGTCTTCGAAGCCTCAGTTAACGATGCTGGGATGATGGCAGGAAGTCACTGTGGGACCCTGGCCTCTGGTGCAGCCGATGGGCCCGGCTGAGAGGTCACAGGGAGGAGCTGGGGAGAAGAGAGCCGGCCGCACAGGGAGGCCCGAGAACATGACATGGCTGGTGGTGCTGGCCCGTTCTGCTCCAGCTCCTCTGGGACTTGGAGTGCTCCGGGTGAAGCCACAGAGAATGAGCTCCTTAAAAGTCTGGGAGTGGCGCCACTTGGGTGCCCCTGGGAGGAGGAAGCTCCACCCTCAGCTCCCAGGTATCACAGACAGTTTACTAAGCCCCAGCCCCACCTGGGACAACCTTCTCCTAGTCAGGTGTGTCTTCTCCTTCCTGCTGCACCTGGAGAAGCACCCATGGAGATCCTTCCCCTAAATCCGTAACTCTCAATTCCTCAGTTTTCTGCCTATTTTCCTGAGAGGAGAGTTTAGACAAGCAAAGGGTGAAATGAAAGCTGGCAGCGCCAGAGTGGGGGGAGGGGCTGGCACTTGGGCAGCCTTCCTTCCCTCGGTCCCTCCCCCCACATCTCTGTCCCCCCTTCTCCAGCTCCCTCCCCAAGCTGAAGGCATCAGGCTCGACCAGGAGAAAGGACCTAGAAGGAGCTGCCTGACCTTTCCCTCCCTCCTGGGGTTCTTAAGCACTGGCTCTGGAATCAGACAGGAAGAGAAATGGTCAGCCTAAGAGCCCTTTCAGCCGCCCCCAGGAGCCCTCTGAGTTTCCCTAACCAGCCAGAAGGGAGACGCAGACTCCAGAGTTCTGGACCAGGGGCGCATGAATAATCCTAAGAAATGGGGACAGGGAGGGGGCCAGGGTGGATCAGTACAACAAGGCAAGGCGCAAGACTGGGGAAAAGGAGGCAAGGTGCCCCCTCGTGGTGCTTGGGGAGGCTAAGGAAGACCCTTCCTGTCTCTGGATGCCATGGCCTGTGGCCCGTGGCCCGTAACCAGAGAATTCCGGCGTCCTCAGCCCTCTGGAGATGGTCCAGTGGGTGTCTGAAAACTCATCCAGATTCTGCCCTCAAATTACATGTTTCCGAGACACCGTATTTAATAGGGAAGCCCGCCATAACTCTTCCTCTGAGTTAATCAATAAAGGGACACAGAGAGCCACGGCTGTAATTCTCCATCCGCTCCGGCCCTGCTTGGAGAGTTGATGATGTCACTGTAAGGCCCACGAGGATTTACAGGCTGGCTATTTTCGCCGGTTCCCCATTATTCTTTATATTATCTTTCACGGGGGTCAAGCCTCGCCGATGGAGGCGCACACCACTTTCACCACACAAACATGAAATGGCACGCCATGGGCCGGCTCTTCTCGGAGCGGACACGTTTGGGAAGACGGACGTCACACCGGCCCTGAGCACCTCCCGGAACGAGCAGGTTCTACGGAACGTTTGGTCTCAGCATCAAACAGACTGCCATGGCCGGTGCCGTGGCCGTGGCATGGGTGGGACTTCCAGGCCACAGCTGTATGAAGAAAACTCTGCCTCTGTGACTACCTCTTCATTTTTATTGTGAAAGGGCAAAGTCTCTCCTTTCTGTCCAGGGGGACATCCTGGCTGGTGGCCGACGCTGCGTCCACAGCCACGGAAGGCCCGAGCACTTGGGGGGGCCGACAGGTTCTCATCAGGCATGTGGACCGACCTCTATTGCCGCGGAGGTGGCGGCAGCCCGAGGCGAGGGCGATCAGACCTCTGCAGAGTGAGCGTCCATGGTCAACGGACCAAAGCCCAGGAGGCTGGGAGGGATGCCCTGCTCTGAGGGGCCTCCAGGGGCAGGAGGTGGCAGGGCGGGCATCCGAGAAGAGGAGAGAGGGGGAGGCGAAAGGAAAGGAGATTAAAGCTGGGGCCCCCAATGGGGCGTAATTACCCATCTTTCAGCTGCACTTTGACTTCATCGGCGTAGGGAGCGTTGCTAAAACTCCCAACCTAGAGCCCCCGAGGGCAGAGAGGTGAGGAGCCGCCGCACCCCACCACCCCCCACCCAGCCAGTGAGGGTCAGGGCGAGGACGTGCACCCGGGGCTGTCTCTGAGGCAGGCTCGCCCTCCAGCCCATCTGGCTATCTCTCGACATCCCGCAGTCGTGGCCCTGCTTCCTCTGCACGTGTGCCCTTCCAAGGACAAACCAAGGGAGGCTGGCAGGGAGAACCCCACTCCAAGCCAGCGTCCAGACCAGGAGAAGCCTCATCAGCATCAGAGAAGGTGCCTGCCCACATCCGGGAGGGACGGAGGTGCCAACCTCAGCGGGGAGGCCGACACAGTGTTGCACTGTCTCAGCAAACCCAGAGGAGGGACGCCTCTGGGCAGCACGTTAGACCCCCTCTCCCCACCAAGGGCCTCGGTGGTCTGTCTGTCCGTCTGTCTCTCTCTCACACACACAGGTACACACACACACACACACACGCATACATGGGCACAGGCACAGGCACACACACACGTTAGGAAGCTGTGAGTATGGGAGCCAATAATAAATTGGTTCTTTCCATTTCTAAACCAAAGACCCCATCCTTGCAGAACTTTCTAGGGGCATCAGGAACTCCCAGCCAGGGGCTCCCTGCAGACCTCAGGCCAACAGTGGAGTGTGGGGAGGCCTGCCCTGGCCCAGCTCAGCAGAGCACACGCCCTCCACCCCGGGGACGCCCACTTGACACTCCCACTGAGTGCGTCTGCGCAGCCCAGGCCCCCCCAACAAAGAAGACGAGGATGTGCCCACCTCCACCACGGATCGGGAGTCCAGCCGGAAGTTGAAATCTCCGAAGACAAAGTACGACACCTTCTCGAACCGCTGGTCGATTATCCTGAAAGGAAGAAAGACAAACACCTCGTTACACACGCGGGGCCCCAGCGTCCATGAGGCGCCTACTGTGTGCAGCCGCTCCCACAGTGAAGCTGCCCTCGTCCTCACCCTGAGCAGCCCGCACTATCTGCGGAAGAGACAACATGCACATGCCCCAAGCCAAGCAAAGGATCCGCAGATCGGGGAGGAATCCGGGAAGGCCTCCCAGAGGAGGTGCTACATGGCCTGAACTTCAAGCTCGGGATCCAAGAGGCCAGGGAGGTGGCCAGGAGGAGGACGAGGCCAGACCCTGGGCTGGCACAAGGAGCCCTCCCTCTCCTCGAAGCCGTGGGCATGGGGGCAACCCCATGCATTCCCCACAGTGCTCAGGACCGTGGTCAGCTGCTCCAGGGAGGGGACAAGGGCCCGCGTGGGGGCAGCCCCTGCCGTGCAGGGCTTTTTGGCGGAAGCTCGTCAAACCAGCCCAAAGAGGAGGGGGGGCCGCAAATGCCCAGAAATCGGTGCGGATGGCCACCCCTGGCAGAGGAAGGGCCCTGCTCTAGAAACACGTTGCTTTCAAAGCCACGACAATCCATCTCCCGGAGATTATGCCACCGACAAATCCCTGCCTGGGAGAGGTCTGACAGTGACAACCCAGAGTGATTGCTCCTGCAGGAAGCCGGTCATTCTTTCTCAGTAAAAACCAACCCTGCCCAGGGCAGACAGAGCACCTGGGAGCCCCTGGGTTCACCGTGGCTGCCCACCCATGCAAGGCAACCCTACAGGACAGACGTGAGCTTTCCTCTGCTCCCTCCCAACCCTTGGAAGCAGCCAGACCTCGGAATCCCCCCAGGCATCCTGGGGCCGCCACAGCCGTGGTCATGGGTCACATCTCACGTGGCCATGGGTCACATCTCACGTGGCCGGACGGGGCTGTTAGGCCTGGCTTTGTTCAGAGCCTGTGCTGCAGGGAGGATCTGAGGGGGCTGGGGATCCCCTCCAGACCAGGATGCTCAGGGGGGGGATGGGTCTCTCCTAAGAGGAGCATTTCCTCGCACGCTGCTGAAGGAAGGAGCCCCACCGGCCCGCACAACCAGGGAGAGGCCCACGCAGTCCCCCCCAGCACAGTCCCTGGGGGACTCAGAACAGATGTGATCACTATGGAGTCAAAACCCGAGAACTCCAGCATGACATTGACAGGCCAAGCTCTCCCCCTCCCCCCACTGAGGGTCTTCCCCTCACACTTCCCCTCACTGCCCAGGGGGCAGATGCCTTAGTCAGCCAAGGGCAGAGTTCTGCTTCTCCAGCTGTCACAACTGGCACAACAGCTTCCCGCCGACACACAGGAGAACAAGCCAACTACCCAAACAGAAAAGGGAGCCTGGAAATGGAAACCCTTCCAGAAGGGTCAGTCTAATGTAGAGAAGGCTGGGGGAGGGGGAGGAAAGATCCTGAACAGGACATCCCCAAGGGGGACAGCTGTGGCCCTCCAACGATGCCCTCTGTGGGCTGCTGGCATGCGTCCCCTTGTGCTACATTGGCTCGCTGCTCCAGTCTGGACAGAAGCCCCCAGCCCTCAGGCAAAGGCTCCAATTGGCCCTCGAAGCTGAAACCCCCAACAGGAGGTTTTGACCCTCGGGGGAAAAACAGGATGATAAATGTCCCAGGTCTTTCTAACCACTCTTGAAGTTTTACGAAGGGCTTTACCCAGATCCTGTGGTCCCCACATGGCAGCCCTTAGAAGGGCCACCAGGGGTCTGCTTGGCCCCATCTTACAGAGAAGGGCACCGAACTCTGGCAAGGGAAGATGCCCCAGCCAGTTGGGCAGCACCACAGCGGGGTGACTCCAAGACTATTGCCAAAGGCGGGTGCGTTGGTGGGCAACGGGGTCCTCACTGCTTGCCCTCCGAGTGAGGCCATCGAGGCAAGAAGGGCTGGGCCACAATGACTATACGCGGCATCCCTGGCCACGGACTCAGAGGGTCTGCGATCAGGCCCATGAACTATCACTGTAAACCCGTGGGGCTTCCGAGCTTGGGAGCAGGCAGCATAGAGTGTGAAGAGGCTGGAGCCAGGGGGAGGGAAGGTAGAATCCTGCCCCGGGCACTCAGCCCGTGTTGAGACCTCCTAAAGCCTCAGTTCCCCCTGAGATCCCTCTACCCCTCCACGGCTCCCCAGGTTTCCTCCTTCCAAACCAGGGAGACCAATTTCTCCCCTCAGGCCTCTCCCAGGTCATCACTGTGGCTCCATCTTGACCAACTCCACCTACTCTCCAGTCTCTCCTGTCCCCTGAATGCTGTCCTGCTCAGCCTGGCATGCCAAGTCTAGGCCTTGGAGGCCCCTTACCACCCAAGGCCCTCCTCCCAGGCCTCTCCAGTTTGAAGTGGATGGAAGGTAGCCTGAGCAGTGTGGAAAGCACAGATTTAGGGGTACATGGTGGGTGAGTGCACGTGTGTGTGTGTCTGTGTGTGTGTGCGCGCGCATGCATGTGTGATCTATGAAAGACCTTCCACAGAAGGCGGGTTAGATTTCCCAATGACACTGGACAGATTTGAAACCTGAGATGATCCTCAGCTCCTCACTTTCTCTCACCCCACAGACCCCGTCAATCACTAAAGCTGAGCGCTAGAGCCCCTCCCTCTGTGTGGCACAGCCTCTGTAGGGGTCCAGTCCTCCTCCCCACCTTCCAGCAGCTCAAGGACAGAAGTGTTCCTGGGGGCCCAGCTCCCCGCTTCAGCAGCCAGAGGTGGAGGTGCTCCTGGGGGACCCAGAGGCGGAGGTGCTCCTGGGGGACCCAGAGGCGGGGGTGCTCCTGGGGTCTCAGCTCCCCCCATCAGCAGCCCAGAGGCAGAGGTGCTCCTGGGGGACCCAGAGGCGGGGGTGCTCCTGGGGGCCCAGCTCCCTCCCTCAGCAGCACAGAGGTGGAGGCGCCCCCAGCCTCAGACCAGCTGCGCTTTGTAGCTGATTAGGTTGGTTTTCTTCACTTTGCATTAGGAGCTGTCCCTCTCCCATCATTAGCATTTCTATTGGATGCTCCATGAATCAAGTTATCCCTGATGGTGATTGATCTGAATGGCAGGAAGAAGAAAGGTCAGGAGATGGACCCCACTGGGGGTGGGGGGATGCTGGCACACAGTAGGTGCCTAATGGACACTACCTGACAGATTGGCTGAAGGACCAAGGGCCGTTCCATCCAGCTTTGATGTGCTGTGAGCTGGGCCCACACCCCAACCTCCTGGCCCCCCCCAGAATAGCAAGAGCACCCCCTGCCTCGTTTCCTACCCCCCAAGGAAGGAACCCCAGAGGGACGGAGGACCAGACATTCTTTCACAGGCCAGCCCTGCCTTCTCTGGGAGCCACTCCACTCAAAGCCAGCCCACCACCGAAGTCACAGCCCCCAGCCCCTTCCTCCCAGCTGCTGGTGAGGCGCCGCCTGCTACGTCCTCCCCCACCGCACACCGTGAGCACGGAGCTTGGGACACCCACCGGGAAGGCGTCCGTGGCCTAGCCCAGCAGCCGGCTCTCTTTGGCACAGGCTGTGCTAGTGCTGAAAAGGCAAGGGGAGACACCTGGAAATAGGAAGGACCCCTCTGGGCCTCAGGAGGCCCTTCTGTACAATGGGAACAAGAAGCGATGCCGCACCCAGCCCGCGCCCAGCCAACTTGTAGTGAGAACACTCTGCGAAGCAGAGAATGCCCTGAGACCGGGCTGGCTTGGCTGAGAGCAAAGTGACCAGCAGATGGGAGATGGGTGACCGCTACAGGACAGATGGAGATGACTGGGAGACAGACATATGGAGAACTAGGGCCAGGCCCTGCCCCCGGACCTTCCGCTCTTTAGGGTCGGGGGAGGGAGGCCCGCCTCCTGGGCAGCTGAGGGGGCACGGACGGTGGGGGGGGGGGCAGTCTCTCGGAGGCGACGACCCTGCCCAGAGTGTCAGGGTCTGCCCAAAGACCTGAGCCACAGGCCAGAGACAACAGGACGAGGCGAACCCTTCTCTCTAAGTGACGTCAAGGCTCGGGTCCTTTGGGGCTGCCGCGGAGGCCCGGCGACCGAGGACCGTGCCACCTGCAGCCCCCAGCGGCTCAGACCGAGGCCCCCTCCTTCCTGCCCAGTTCTCTCTGCTGCCCTTACTCTCAGGGACTGTGGTGTTGCTGTGAGTTCTGCAAAGGCTCTTCTGCATCCGAGCCGTGTGCTTGCTTGGGCCTGGGGGTCACAGATGGCCTTCCACGCCCGCCTCCCCCATCCTGTGGCCCATGGCCTGTGCCTGCCTGATGTATACAAGCACAGGCAGCACCTGCTCTGGGCCTGCCCCGGGTCAGGTGGGGCATGAGGAACAGAAATGGCGCAGATGGGGATACTCCCAAGGACTGTCCCACAGACCGCTCCCAAAGATCACGAGTAGCCATGCCTGGCCTTCCCTTCCTCTTTCTCGGCACATGCTGGGAGGGGTCACCCTCCACGTGGGTCCATCATAGAAGGGGGACCAGCCTCCATGTGGGTCCATCATAGAAGGGGGACCAGCCTCCATGTGGGTCCATCATAGAAGCGGGGCCGGCCTCCATGTGGGTCTGCCATAGAAAGGGGGGCCAGCCTCCCCAAGGGTCCATCATAGAAGGGGGGCCAGCCTCTCTGTAGGTCCATCATAAAAGGGGGGTCACCCTCCACCATAGAATGGGGGTCAGCCTCCCCACAGATCCATCACAGAAGGGGGGTCAGCCTCCACACGGGTTCATCATAGAAGGGGGTCCAGCCTCCATGTGGGTCCGTCAGAGAAGGGGGTCAGCCTCCCCACGGGTCCACCATGGAAAGGGGGCCAGCCTCCATGTGGGCATACTGCTGGGCAGCCTGAGAAGTCTGCTGACAGATGTCACAGAATACCTTTTAGTGGGGGGAGGGGGTCTTTTATTTTTTTAACTGGTTCTTTAGGGAAGGAAAGACTGAAACCTTTCACCTTTCCATCACCTTCCTCCTCAAATACTTGCCTCCACTATCTCCTGCAGCAAACAAACCCAAGAAGGA